CTGAAGGGAAGGCCGGAGGTCAGATAGAAGACTGAAGGGAAGGCCGGAGGTCAGATAGAAGACTGAAGGGAAGGCCGGAGGTCAGATAGAAGACTGAAGGGAAGGCCGGAGGTCAGATAGAAGACTGAAGGGAAGGCCGGAGGTCAGATAGAAGACTGAAGGGAAGGCCGGAGGTCAGATAGAAGACTGAAGGGAAGGCCGGAGGTCAGATAGAAGACTGAAGGGAAGGCCGGAGGTCAGATAGAAGACTGAAGGGAAGGCCGGAGGTCAGATAGAAGACTGAAGGGAAGGCCGGAGGTCAGATAGAAGACTGAAGGGAAGGCCGGAGGTCAGATAGAAGACTGAAGGGAAGGCCGGAGGTCAGATAGAAGACTGAAGGGAAGGCCGGAGGTCAGATAGAAGACTGAAGGGAAGGCCGGAGGTCAGATAGAAGACTGAAGGGAAGGCCGGAGGTCAGATAGAAGACTGAAGGGAAGGCCGGAGGTCAGATAGAAGACTGAAGGGAAGGCCGGAGGTCAGATAGAAGACTGAAGGGAAGGCCGGAGGTCAGATAGAAGACTGAAGGGAAGGCCGGAGGTCAGATAGAAGACTGAAGGGAAGGCCGGAGGTCAGATAGAAGACTGAAGGGAAGGCCGGAGGTCAGATAGAAGACTGAAGGGAAGGCCGGAGGTCAGATAGAAGACTGAAGGGAAGGCCGGAGGTCAGATAGAAGACTGAAGGGAAGGCCGGAGGTCAGATAGAAGACTGAAGGGAAGGCCGGAGGTCAGATAGAAGACTGAAGGGAAGGCCGGAGGTCAGATAGAAGACTGAAGGGAAGGCCGGAGGTCAGATAGAAGACTGAAGGGAAGGCCGGAGGTCAGATAGAAGACTGAAGGGAAGGACGGAGGTCAGATAGAAGAGTGAAGGGAAGGTCAGATAGAAGAGTGAAGGGAAGGCCGGAGGTCAGATTTAAAGATTGCACATTCTGTTTCTTGCCTGTGTCCAGTTGTGACCGGTTCTCTTATGTCTTAGCCCACCCCCTTCTGCTGTAGGCCATTATAGGTGTTGCCTGTCCTGAGTTTTGTGACATGATGAATTATAGAGGCCGCCACATTTCTTCTCCTAAATCTGTGAAAAATGTCTGAGCAATACATTGTGTCGGGCGATGCCGCGTCCTGTCCGGGAGGAGAACGTCCATTAATAATTGGTAATGGCGCATTAGGGAGCCCGCCGCTTCAGCGTCCTCATAAAGGAAGATGCATTCCCGCTCCATGCTTGTCAATAGGCTGTTTATGGCTTCTGTCGGCTCCGCTCAGACTTATCTTCATTTCAGCCGCGGGATTTTTCATTTGCCGATTGTCCATTTTTAAACATTGATTTCTTTTTTTTTTTCGATGATCAGAATAAATGTGCCGAGCCGGTCGAGGGATTAGAAGACGAGAGGAACTTTCCGAGAGTTTGTTTACTTCATCCGGTCACAGCCCGGGGACTGGAGGATCCATCATTATAGGTTTTTCCAGTGCAGTCTCCAAGCGTACCCTGGTGTCTCTAGTGAGCCTTTATGCACCCCCTTGTTTTGAAGTGCAACCCTGTGACTCCAGTGCACCTCCGTGTGCCTGCTTGTCTTCAAGTGCTACCCTGTGCCTCCTGCATACCCCAATGGTCCTCCATATGTCCAAGTGCTACCCTGTGCCTCCAGCATGCTTCAGTGCACCTCCAAGTGCAAACCTGTGCATCCACTGTGCCTCTGTCACCTGAATGTCACCAAGAGTACCCCTGTGTCTCTAGTGAGCCTTTGTGCACCTCTTTGTCTTCAATTGTTAGCCTGTGCCTCCAGCCCCCCTCTGGGCACCTCAAAGTCTTCAAATGTTACTCTGTGCCCCCAGCATACCTCAATGGGCATCCATGTCTACAAGTGCAATCCTGCACCTCAAGTGGGCCTCATTGGCACACTCATTCACTCATTGGATTTCAGGTCTGTCAATCATAGCAGCTTAGTATTACATGTGGGCGTTACCTAGATTGATCTGTAAGCAAATGCGGCTTGCCTAGGAACGCCCACTCCTCCAGACTGACACCCACCTAATCAAAACATTTTGATATTTGCATAACTCCTCCCAAGAGCCAGCCCACTGGTTGCATCAGGGCTGAGGACTCTCGAGAGGAGTACTGAGGCATGAATAGCACCCTGATGTCCCCTCCCACCAGCCACGAGCTGCCTGCATTGCATAGAGAAGCACATAGACGCAGTGATGACATCACCGGGTACAAAATAAGATATGTGATGAAAACGGAAAGGTTTCATTTAAAAGTGTCATTCTCATGTTGATGAGGGGGAGGGGAGAACCAGGAAATGCAAAATATAAGCAGATTAAGGCAGCTCCATGGGGGGGACGTCTTATCTTGGATATAACATTTAGGGATATACCGATACTAGTATCAATATCGGTGCCGATACCGCGTATTTGGGGCGAGTACTCGCCCAAATGCTCCGATGCCTAGCACGAGTACTTCCTGTATCAGGAAGCCGGGCGGCACGTCATTACACGCTGGCCGGTTTCCTGATTGGCCGGGAAGCCGGCTCCATGCTCTCTTGTCACTTGTGTAATGACGCGCTGCCCGGGTTACTGATTGGTCGGGAAGCTGGCCAATCAGGAAGCCGGGCCCTGTGTAATGACGCAACGCACTGCACTCTGACTGGCTGGGAAGCCGGCTTCATGCTCCCTCGTCATCTCATGGAGCCGGCCTCCCGGCCAATCAGTAAGCAGGGCGTCGCGTCATTACACTGCGCCCGGTTTCCTGATTGGCCGGCCAGGCGGCTCCGCCCAGTTACCGGAGGACGGCCGCGTTCTGCCTGGAGAGGCCCCGGGGGTGACAGGCTGGACATTCCAAGGTTAGAGGGGACTTTCTTATTAATCGGGAAGCCGTGTGGCGAGTCTTTACACGCTGGCCGGCTTCCTGATTGGGACTTCCGTTACTCAGTAATTGGTATCGGCGAGTACCGAAAAAAAATTATCGGTCCTCTGTACCAAAATACCGGTATCGGTGCATCCCTCATAACAATCATTTTAAAACAATAAATTATTCATTATAATATTCAATCTAATCTTTTGATTTACTCGGATTTATGTTTTTTTTTATCTACGCTCCTTTAATTGTCTCTAATTTCTTTTCCTTCGGAAAACCTTCCCAGATAAACGCCGTCGCCGTAAATTTTCTGCTTCTCTGCAATTTTCCTGGTGACGTTTGGCGGTTATAAATAACGCACAAAGCAGCCTCCAAGGTGGAACGCCGGGATCCATTTTGAGCTGCTGTGTGAAGTTAGGGAGTGATTTACGCTTTTGCAGTATGTCCGCTGAAAGCTTTCAAACCGTGCCAGGTCATCAGTGGCCTGTCATAGGGAGACGTTATTTATGGCCTGACGAGGCATCTCCGCCGCTCTTATGTGTGGTCATGTTTATGCTGCTGTACAGTGCTGAAGAGACCTTTTTATTAGGCTTTTTAAACTGCTTACTCTGATTGCTTCTCACAATGTGCATTAGTATCTGCCGCACATCAGATAGAGCCCACCTCATTTCCTGCCTGGAAAACATCCAACATTATCTAGCACTTTCCTCCTGAGCCTGACTACCCACATGCCCGACCTTTTCATTCATTGGATTTCATTTCTCTTAATCATGGAGGCTCAGCATCACATGTGGGTGTTACATAGGACGATCTGCATGCAAATACACCCTGCCTGGGAACGCCCACTTCTCCAGGCTGACACCCAACAAGGCATTTAAAAATTTGCATAACTCCTCCCAAAAGCCAGCCCACTGCTGTATCTCTCTGCCTTCTGTCTAAACAATGTTACTTTGTATCTCTCTATCTCCCTCTGATCAATGTTTATAAACAATGTTACTTTGTATCTCTCTCTCCCTCTGATCAATGTTTATAAACAATGTTACTTTGTATCTCTCTATCTCCCTCTGATCAATGTTTATAAACAATGTTACTTTGTATCTCGCTATCTCCTCTCTGATCAATGTTTATACACAATGTTACTTTGTATCTCTCTATCTCCCTCTGATCAATGTTTATAAACAATGTTACTTTGTATCTCGCTATCTCCTCTCTGATCAATGTTTATACACAATGTTACTTTGTATCTCTCTATCTCCCTCTGATCAATGTTTATAAACAATGTTACTTTGTATCTCTCTATCTCTCTGATCAATGTTTATAAACAATGTTACTTTGTATCTCTCTATCTCTCTGATCAATGTTTATAAGCAATGTTACTTTGTATCTCTCCATCTCCCCTCTGATCAATGTTTATATACAATGTTACTTTGTATCTCTCTATCTCCCTCCGATCAATGTTTATATACAATGTTACTTTGTATCTCCATCTATCTCTGAACACTGATGGCACATTTGTGACAGCTACATCTTCTGTAGTTATACAGTAACTCCCGGCTGTCATTATGAAAGCCAGGAATTGATGACACGTGTTCTTTGGGTGCAGCAGTGGAGTACTGCATACGTCCTGTGTACTTGGATGAAGTTTTGTTGGGTGCGTGCGGCACTTCCACTGCTGGCTACTTATATGAACATCGCTTTTGCAAATTGTCCATTCACAGGACAGACATACGTTTCCTATAATAGAAAATGAGGATTGTAATGCGTTTGGCTGGCACAGCGAGGAGGACGAGATGGAAAATCTGTTCTAGTTGAAATATAAATATGAGGCCAAAATAGCTCCACCGTAGACGCTGATAATGTCATCTGCGTGGATCAATTAGCTAATAACAAGCTAAGTTCATAATCATCATTATCCCGATTACCCGCAGACAGGACGGCCTAATCTTCTCAGCACAACGAGAGGACGCGGCAACGTATAACAAGATATTATTCCACAAATTGCTTTTAGCCAGCGAGATTTCTTTATAATAGGATGTGACATTATTACCTATAAATGGACATTTTGTGAATCATTTTAAGTAATTATTTTCCTTTTTTTTTTTTTTTAAACACAGGTCTGCCGGAGTCCATTGTAGCGTCCGCCTGCTCCAGAGTAGGACAGCGGGTCCTCCATCTTGATGCGTAAGTCTCCCTGAACGCCACGTGTTTTGTAATAGTTAAAGGTTGCCCCACCCAAAACTGATCGTTTTGATGGTTGCTGGAGAGTTAAACCGCCTAATGGTTTCTTGTTTCTCTTTGGGATCCTAGTAGTGAGTTCCCGGGCCTATACACCCGCTGTGCCCATTATGAGGAGCTCGCACCATCCCTGTGCTGAGTTCCCGGGCCTATACACCCGCTGTGCCCATTATGAGGGGCTCTCACCATCCCTGTGCTGAGTTCCCGGGTCTGTACACCCGCTGTGCCCATTATCAGGGGCCCCCACCATCCCTGTGCTGAGTTCCCGGGTCTGCACACCCGCTGTGCCCATTATGAGGGGCTCCCACCATCCCTGTGCTGAGTTCCCGGGTCTGTACACCCGCTGTGCCCATTATGAGGGGCCCCCACCATCCCTGTGCTGAGTTCCCGGGTCTGTACACCCGCTGTACCCATTATGAGGCTCCCACCATCCCTGTGCTGACATTATGACCTTCAGAATCTGATAACATTTTAGGCCCTGTGTAGAACTGAGGGCTAGGTTACGCCCACTTGTGACGCTGAGCCTCCATGATTGAAAGAGGTGAAATCCAATGAATGAAAGGGGCGGGGCCAGGGGCAGCCAGGCAAGATGATGCCGGACGTCCTCCAGCCAGGAAATGAGGCGGAGCTCTGTCTGACTTGCTGCAGCTTCTAATGCGCATTGTGAGATTCTCGCACACTAACAGAATCTGCTGCATGCGCTACTTTCCCGCATTTGTCACACGTGCGCCCCCCCGCGTTGGGTGTGCCTATGTACAAAAACGACAACCGCGCTACGCATGTTAGGGCCCGTTCACACCAGCTGCAGTGCGTTCCGGCCCGATTCCGGCCAGAACGCACTGCCTCGCATTGCGCAGCCGGCTCACTTTTTTGTGGGGCAGGAGGGGGGGGAACCGTAGCCACGCCCTCCGGCCGCAATGCGATCGTCCGCACGGGATAGCAAGGCACATAATGCCTACGGTGCGATCAAAATAGTGCTTGCAGCATTTTGATCG